AGAGGTCATAAAATTATACAATTTAGAAGTTTTGAGATGCTTTTAAAAACAAAAAATCCAATTTGTCACCAAAATGTAAGGTGGCGTTCAGACTCTTAAGTTACAGCTCTGACAACATAAGAGTCAAACAGGCGATGCTACTGCACAACTTCAAGCAACTACTTCACTCCTCTACTGGTATTCTAACAATTTATTTTCATTAATTTCAACTAAAAACACAAACATCTCTTTGTTATGTTCATAGAAACAAAAATATCACTTAATCATATTCACAAAAAATAAGCATACATAAAAAAAGAACAAAGCACATTATCAAAAAGTGACTCCGCTTAACGGTCTCTGGAAAGAGCCATTAGGTAGATGGACCTCAATGAAAAGACACTGAAGCCACAAAATACATGCAATATGTAGATACAGTTACCTGGTTTCCAGGTGCACAGACAAAAGTTCAACATGAAAGAATTCTAGTTGTCCAGACTTTGAGAACTACACAGTACTAAAAAACTGTATTTGCCTTACATCTTGTGGAAGCTGTGGCTGCCCCCTCCCTGGGAGGGTTCCAGACCAGGTTGGACGGGGCTTGGAGCAACCTGGGCTGGGGGAAGGGGGCCCTGTCCGTGGTAGGGGGTTGGAACTAGGTGATCTTTAAGGTCCCTTCCAACCCAAACCATTCTGTGATTTTCTTGAAGAACTGCATTTCAAAATATATGCTTGAGTCAGGAGTATTTCATTATGTGGCATTTTACTTAAACATTTACCCATTTCAAACATGGGTTAGGAAATACTTCAATTGAACAGGTAGGTTTGATTTTATCAAACAAATAAAAACCAAGAAGCCACTCATTTTTAACATAACAGATAAACAGACAACTTGCATGTCAGTATGACTAGAGATCCTTCACTGTACTGGGACAAGTAGTCTAAGCCATATAGAGGGAAACTGGTTAAAGTTAACAAAATGTGTTATAATATAAGATCAAAACAGCACCTCTTTAATTAATCTGAATATCTTATGATAATGTGTACAAATAAAAGACTAACATCCTTCGAGCACGTAAAGACTACGCTAAAACATCACGACCTAGAGACATGAACTTCCTACCTGATCCACTGAACTGGCTGCTTCCTAGCGTAGTTGGTCTGGTTTTCCCACTATTAACAGGTGGAGAAAACATCTGCAAAACAAGAAAAAAGATGTATTTAAATTGCCTTTGAAACTCTGTGAATAACTATTAATGTAAACTTAAAAAAAAAAAAAGTTATTAGGAAGCAATTATTTGCTTCCTTTTTCTGCTAGAAAATAAACAAAAGGTAAGATGAATGTTTAGACCCATAAAACCAATAAGCTGAAGTACTCCTTGCAATTTATTAATACCACTAAAATTTTTTTCCTACCTGAATACAACAGACAACTTTAAAAAAACTAATATTAAAAAGAGACTTGCTACTACTACTATGGCAGCTTAGAATAGTTTTGTATCTTAAATTTTGCAACTCAAAATATGTTTCTTACTGATCTCTGAGCTTAAAGTCACTGGATAAAGACAGCTTTTGAGAGGCAGTAGTTTTCTATTATATTTATAAATCAAGCACCTTTTCAACATCTGTTAAAAGAGAAGAATCACATAGAAAATACCCATCATTTGCTAAGCCAAAACTATCAGTGAATAACCTCTGCTAATTACGGGCATTACATTTCCTGTTGGTTTGTTTAATATATATATATATATATATATATATAAATTAAAAAAAAAAAAAGCCAAAGTACCAGTGCCACATGCCAGCTTAACAAATGTTAATTATTAGATTATACCATCAGTGGGTCAGCCTGATTTTAACCAGTTAAACCAATTGACCCAGCTGGTATTACAGTATTAAATCTGGAAGTCTAGACATTACATCAAAGTTCAGGTGTCCGACTTGGCGGAGACAGCCCCAGCCAAGCCCTGCGCGCTGCTGCCCCTACTCCTCAGCTCGCTTTACCGCGCAGAAGTCACGAGAAGACCTCGGAGAATATCCTACCGCGCTGAAGTCCAGCAAGTCGCTCAGTTCCTTGTCGGTTCCTATAGCTGCCATCCTCTGCTGCTGGGAATTCATCTTCCTCCGCTCCTCCGATCACCTTCTGGGGCACAGGGAGAGGGGCACAGGCAGTACCGCACCAGGGGGCTGGTGCCGACCCCGACACTGGGAAACCGGCCCCCGGCGAAGAAGGGCCGCGGTACCCGCGGCGGGGGCGGGGGAACCCCAAGGGAGGCTCCGGCTGCCGGGCGGACTGACGGAGTCGGCTTCCCCACACTAACCAACTCTCCTCAAGTTTCCTCAGGCTGCCCGCTCTCCCTCATGCCACTTCTCCCCCACCTCGAGCAAGGCACAGTCGCGCTGCGGCGGGGCCGCTGCCGCCAGAATTGGGTCCTCCCCCCCCCGGGCAAGCGAAAGCAAATAAACAGCCGCGGCCCAGCGAAGTCCGGAGAATTAGCGAGAGATTAAGTGACTCACTGTCTCGGCAACAATGGGGCTGACAAGCAGGGCTGGATGTGCCTCAGCAGAGCCATCTCTGCCCCGGCATCGCCGCCCGCCGCCTTCCTCACCCACCCTCCCTCGGGTCGCGACCGCCGCTCCGCGCTCGGGACCGCGGCGGGGCGGGAGCCGCCCCCGCGCACCGCACGCGCACACACGGCGCGGGGCCGGGCGCGCGCGCCGCCACGGGAGGGGAAGGGTGGGCTGAGGGGGTGGGGTGGAATGCGCGTGCGGCGGGGGGGGGGAGGGAAGGGGACGTGCGCGCGCGCGGCGGGGGGGGACACCCGGGGTGGAGGGGGGGGGGGGGGGAGGCTAGAAGGAGGGGCGGCGGGGTCCGCGCCTTCCCTTGTGCCCGGCGGGCGCCGCGGGGGAGCGGCGGGCGCGCTGCCGCAGCCGCGCTCCCCGCCAAGTTTCGGATCCGCCCGGCGCGCTGGGGCCGGGCTGCGGCCGCCGCGATCCTTTCTGAGCGCGGGGGAGCCGTGCGGCCAGTACCGCGCGTCCCGAGAGCGGCCCGCGGGACTCGCTCCTGCCCGGGGCCGGGCGCCGCGGTCCGCCCAGGGTCCGCGGCCCGCCCCGCCGCCGCTCGGCAGAGCCCCCGGCACGCCGCCCGCACGCCCCGCCGCCCGGCCCCGGCTGCCGCCCCTCGGGCTCCCCAACAGCGCCTCCTCGGCCTCCCCGCCGCGGCCCCGCGCTGCCGCCTCTGCCCCTGCGAGCGCTCGGCCGCCGCTTCCCTCCCCCCACCGCTCTCTTCTAACTTCTCCCGGCCCCCCGCCGCCCGCACTTACCTGCTGCCCCCCGGACGCTCCGGTGACCAGGGCCGGGCCGGCAGGCGGGCCGCGGGCTGGGTGGGAGGCGACGAGCCGAGCGCTCCCCCCACCCCCCCCCACTGGAAGGAACTTGTGGGTTTCCCTCAGGCAGACATTTTTTTGCTTACAGAGCCTCAGCACCACGTTCACGGCTCCGGCTCCGTATCCCTCCGCGCCGAGCGCCGCCGCGGCCTTAACTCTTGATGTGCCGCGCCGCTCCCGGCCGGGGGCGGGCGGGAGGTGCCGCCGCGCTGGCGGGAGCCCCGCGGGCGCCCCTTCGAGGCACCCCGGCCCCCGCTGCACCCCCGGGCTCGGCGCCGGGGGATAGCGGCGGGGGCCGTCCGCACCGCCCCGGCCGGCGGTGGCGTGGGAAGGAGCGGGACCCCACGGTCCCCGGCCCGCTTGGGGACACCGCAACGGGCACCCCCAACACACGCACCCCAAGGGAGCGGACCCGTCCCCAACTCATCCAAACCGCCAGCCCTGACAGCAGCGCACCTGCCCCAAAATACATTATCACACTCACCCTCAGTCCGCATACCCTAAAATATGCCTAAATACTTTTAATGTAGCAATGTACAGTCTTACTTACAACACCACACACGAATTACATCAAGCTTTAAACATTCATTAGCAGCTCCCTCTTAAATACATACAGTTAGACCCAGAGCATGGCAAAGCACATGCTCATAGATACCCGCCGTTCCGAGGCAGGGGATGCTGAATGGGAATCAGCCCAGGACCGGGCCCCAGCGTGGGACGGGCCCGCGCCCTCGGGCGGGTCCTGCCACCGCTGCAGCCGGAGCCCCCCGTAGCGCTGCCAGCCCGGGGGGCCGGGGGGCCCGGCTTTGGCAGGTACCGGCCCAGTGCCCAGGGCCAGCGCTCGCCGGGCCTGCAGAGCCCCCCCGTGGCACCCACTCGCCACCACCCGGCCCCCGGCCTGCTCTCTTCTGACCCTCGCCACGAGGCCTTCCCACCCTTCCCTTTCACAGGGAGAATTAAAAAACTGTAACCTCTGCAGCTACTGGGATGTTATTGTTTTGGAGGAAGGGGACTTACAAAACACAAGGAGAGTGAAAAAGGATACTTCCAATCCTGGAGAGCCTAAAACGCTCCAGGGGGCCAGTGAGCACAGCGAGGAAAGGAGAAGGCGCGCTGCACAGAGCAGCGTTCACCCCTCCCGGGCTGCTGCCTGGCAGCGACCCGGGTTTGGGAAGCAGCAGGCTGGGCAGAGGGCTCTCCAGCCCCATGCCCGTCCTTTCCAACCCAACTCTTCCCACCCCCAGATCCCGCTCTGTGACATCTTCCGGAGGAAGGGGAGGGCGATAACGAACTTACCACCCCCAGGCAAAGACAAACTGGAGATTCTGGAGCTTTAAAACGTTCTCCCATAGATGCCGTGTACTGGATGATCGTCTGGCCCTGTGATTCTATGCATATTCATATATTTGCCACTTAGAAATGCAGGAAGCAATTTGTATTAAAACATCAACACAATTACTTCTATTCTTTGTGCCCTTGAGGGACATAAATGCCTACTTTTCCCCTTTGATGTATAAATAATACTACATTTTAGAGGAAAGCACCCAGTGACAGAAATCATTATACATTTCATGAGGAATATCCTTTAATGTATTTTAGTTACAAGGAAGATCCCGTATTTACATACTGTGAAAATATTGTTGTTTTTTTTGAAGCGTTACTTTTTAACCAGTACTGGTACTCAGTACCAGTTAGTACAGCTGCAACAGGGATAAGCATTGATTTGAAAACTAACTAAATGTAAAGGTGGAAGCAATAATGCTAACAATTATTTGTACTGACATATAATTGTAAAAATTAAAACTTAATTTCAAATACAGTACTTTTTACTTGCCCTCTGACCTAAGGTTTTAAGGTTCAAAATCACAAGCTTTTATTTGTAGCTGGAAACTTTGAATGGAAGATGATACATCCATGTAATCCATGACATAGGAGTTAAAGATACACAAAATATTGTAAGGTATTTCATTAGATCCACAATGACACATCACTTTCTCATGCAGGTGCTGGCAGTAAACATGCTCATTACCAAAAGTCACATCATAGCAGCCGTTCTTCTCCTTTATATCTCTACGAGTTGACTGTCCTCTCTGGAAAACTTCACTTTCAGGCACCTGCAGAAAAAGGACTGGGACATAAACAAAGTTTCCAGAAATTATGCCAGACAACTTAGCAAATACCCAAGGCCTCAGGGTAGGTATGCTTTGCCCACAACATGCCCTGAGTCTGACCTAAAGGAGATTGCTCTGGGGAGCCAAAACTGTAATGAAGTGTCCAATTAGGAAATTAGAAAACAAATTCATACAGGTAACTTGAGTAAAACTCTTGTGAAAGATCAGTAACTATCACATCCTTTATTACATTCAAATTCTAAAAGGGGATTTAACCTAACGCTTCCCGGGTGCTGAATGTCATCTGACACACTGGAATCTTTAACTGATTTGGTTTTTAACCCCTCTTCATGTAATGCTGATCAGATTTAACATGTACACTCAAAACATCAATGTACAACATACTATGTCCATGCAATACTTTCACCTATTCTCAGAATCTCCAGCCCCTTTCTCAAGCTGCTACTTAGTATCCTTTAATCTCTGCTTCTCCTTACAAATTCTTCCTGTTCACTGCAAAGTTTAAAAAAGAAATACATTGTATATCCTTATCCTGTCATAGTTATACACAGAAAATGAAACAGAAAAAATTGTGGTCAGCATTCAAAGGAAAAACAACCAAACAAAAAAAAAACACCAACAAGAAACCCAAACAAACAAACTCTGCTTTTAGCGATTTAGAGATCTTTATGAGAAAATATGACCAAATACAACTTTATAAACATTTTAAAACATTTGAAGAAATAGGTATTTGAAACCTGGTTCAGACAATTACTATAGTTTCTTGTTTGCAACAAAGCAAATACTTCCAGTTTCCTTCCTGCTTCAGTGCCTAGTTATGGTTCTTTCCTTACATGTGCAAATGTGGCAAACACTACACAGATCATACAAAAATGAAAAGCTTCCAGCTTTGCTATGACACAACAGTACTTCCTCATATATTACATTGAAGGCTCAAGTGCTACTGTCTCCTGCAGGTGTTACACCTTTTTATCTCTCACTTCTTTAAAAATAAAAGGCCTTCGCTACCTGGGGAGCAGTGGATCAGATGGGGAGCACATCAATATAGCAGCAATCATAAAGACCAATCATTTTGCTAGTGATTTTGTGAGCAAGGACTCCAGCCATCAGGGCTGAATTCCTGAAGATGCTTTCCCCAATTGAATTATCGTCGGTGAATTTCCTATCAAGATAAATAAATTTATCTGTCTTGTGGATAAAAACTCTTCCCTTAGAGAAGTCTTAGATCTGTTGTGGAATAGTGCAAGTAATAGACAGGGAAACCCCTGCACACGAAGTCATCGGTGAACTCCAGACTCTGACAGAGCATACACCACAACTGCAAATCTTTGTCATAACAGCCCTGACAGCTGATCTACCACCATCAATATGGCCAGCTACCAACCAGAGGAGTCAGGGAATTGCTAGTTGCCAGATGGCGATGGCAACATTCTTCCACATGCTTCAACATGACCATGAAAATGAAAAATTACTTGCAAGACATAAAAAAATTAAAAGGAATATAAAAACCAAATCACTTGAGCACAACCCCCTGAAAATAAACACACTCATATGCTGTTTCCACAGCCTTCATGAATTGCTTTCCACCCACTCCTTAAAGGAACAATATTTGATACAGCAGACAGCTGTTGTGCATTCAGGGATGTGAGAAAATGTATTCCGTATTACTATTTAATGTATCATGCCTTTGTGAATAAAATCATTAAGCTTGCATGTCTCCTTTTGGTTTATTTATTTTTAAATTTACACACATTGAATTAATTCACCACCACCACCCAAACTGTACGAGCTCCTAGGGTGTTCCCTGACAGAGCATTTGACCCAGGATGCATTTTTTACTGGAATGGCTCCTTTAAATCAACATGTATGTGCTCAGCCTGCATCCACAGCCAGCAATTTATCCCTGATAAATACTACTGCTCAGCAAATCCATAGCCCTGCAGAGAAGTCAGCAAATCTCCTTTCCTGCTTCAGTTTTGGAGTTGTTTGGGTTTTTGTTTTTGTTTTTCTTTTTCACAACAAATTCCCACCCCCACCTAAACCACTGAATCCTTTTTACTGCTTCCAGCAGACTTCCCACTACAGAGAGCAATGCTCATTTAGAGGCAGCAATAAGGAGAACACAACTTTGTTTCCTGGAACTAACACGGACAAAACAATACCATTTTCTCATTGACTTGTTTCTGGGGTCACCTGGAATCTGAATCAAGCCAATAAAAATTAATAAAAATATTTTTGTTGCCATTCATTAAACTTTTGGATTAAGGTCTTGGGGAGGCACTGTATTCTTCCTACAGCTCTTCCTTCCAAATCAGACTTTGGAAGAGTATCCTACAAATGAGCTTACAGCTATATTCCTACCACCAAGCCTCATGATTGCGCAGGGCTTGCTGTTATCGGTACAGCCCATCTTACAGATAACTGAATTTACTGCCTCACTGCCTGCTATATTTATGTCACAGTAATTAAAATTATATAACATATATATTATGTAACGTGTTGTACAATAGAAAATATTTAGACTATTTGCAGGAGGCTACAATGGTGAAACCTCTCACCAGTCAGTATTATTTACGAGGGGACCAGAGAGAGCATGCAGGCTGACTACTGTAAAGTCCAAACCTGTTTCTGTGGGGGCACTGACAGCTACGCATAATTTGTTACCGCTGCCAACAAAACGCTCGCCGACCAGTACTTCTGGCTAAGCAGGAAATGGGTAAAAGCTTTAGCTCGTCGTAAGGGACGACCCTCAGAGAAGGAATTCTTAGAAAAGCAGAAAAGGAACTGCGGGGAAGGAGCTGGGGGGGGAAGCGATAAAAAGGCGAAGCGGCGGCGGCGGGCGGGCCCCGCTGGCTCCGGGGGTGCCGGGCGCTGCTCGGCGGGGCCTCCCGCCCGCCCCCACACCGCCGCAGAGCCGCCCGGCCGACTGCTGGGGCCGGCGGCGCAAGAACCGCGGAAAGGCGCGGAAAGTTGCGCCCGCGCCCCAAGGCTGCGCGAACCCCGCGCCGGCGCCCCGGGGCGGGCAGAGCGCGGCCCGCCCCCAGCCCCGCCCCGAGGGCCCTGCGGCCCCAGGGCCGGCCCCCGCGGGGACAGCGAGGCGCGGGGGGGGCGAGGGGGGGGGGAAACCGAAGTTGGTCGTGCCCGCCCGGCTCCGCCGCCCCTCCCCGGGGCCGGCAGCGGGGTAGCGCCCTGCCCTTGCCGGCCGGGGGCGGCCCCGCTCCCCGCCGCCGCCGGCCGAAACTTGTGCGGGGCCGAACAATGCGGCGAGGACTATTTATCCTTCCGCCGGCCGGCGGCGGCGGGAGGGGGAGGGGAGCGCGGAGGGCGCGGCGCGGCCCGGCCGGGCCCGGCCCGCTGCTGAGCGGGCGGGAGGCGCCGGGGGCTGCTCCCCGCCTCAGGCTCTCGGGGCGAGGCGGCCGGCGAAAGCCGAGGGAGCCCCGTCCCGTCCCGTCCCGTCCCGTCCCGCCGAGGCCCGGGAGCGGTTGAAGCGCGCTGCCCCGTCCCGTCCCGGGGCGGCGGGAGGAACCCGGCGGGTCCCTCGGGCCCCCGCCCGGCCTTAAGCACCAGCACCGGGTGTCCCTGCGGGCGCGGCGCTGCTCGCGGGCCGTGTGCGCCCTGCAGAACTTCTGCCCGTCTTGCCTGAGGTTCAAGAAATAAACCTGAACGTCAGCGGCGGCCGAGTAAACTGCTTAAATCGAAAAGTGACTTTATATTCACACAGGAGGTGGTTTGGACACTTAATTTTAAAAAGGTTGGCTTAAGCCAAGTAACTAAAAACAAGTAACAGGTTTAAGCTAAAAGCAACATAATGTTTTCTTACTTTTACAGTACCTTGCTACTTAAAGAGGAATAGTCACAGGAGATTTACACTGGCATAATAAAACTATCATAAAATTACACTGTGTCCAAAGATGACTTAAAGTCAGTATGATGTAAAGCTTAATTCACATAAACACCTAAACATACTCCTGGTAAAGCATGCATTAAATCAAAACCAGATCACTATCCCTGGAGAAAAAAGCTCCTCTCCCCAGTCAGTGCCTGTGACCCTTTCTGCTCCCCACGCAGTGCAGAAGGCCGCGGGGTGTGCTGCCACCCAAAGCAGCGCTCACACCTCCTCCATTCTAACAAAGCTCATTTAGAACCTCAGAAGACACAGATTACAACAGAGAAGCACATAACCGAGATTGCTGAAGGGAGGTATTTTCAGCGAGGAAATTCATACAAAGTTTTAAGTTTCCCATGTAAACTATGCCCATTGCTACAAATTTTTATGACCCACTGCATCATGCAGTTCAATGTTTTGAAATATCCCTAGGATAAGCATTACTGCTGAAAGCAGTTGAGGCGAAGCATCTCTCACCAGAACCTGTCTCATGCTGAAAGACATTGGCTAGACAGTCAGAATGGAGTTAATTTGCAGAGAGGATAAAGCATGAGTATTGCCATTTTTAGCCTGGTTTCCTCGGGAAATCACTTGCAGACAAGTACACAGCATCCATGTGGATGGATGTATTTCCTTAATAAATCATTAACTTATTTGCTAATTTCAACCAAGGAAAATGAGATCACGTTCACACACATTTAGTGGAAACAGGGATTGAAGCAGGAAAACAAAACAAAACAAAACAGATTGTGTTGGTGCACCTACTGAAGAAAAGACTAGTTAAGGTCAATCCTTGTCAGTGACCAAAAAACTTGGACACAGGATGCAAAGCCAGCGGAAGGTAGCTTTAGGTAGTTTCCCTCCTGGCAAAACAATTTCTGGTGTTCTGTGTGTTACTGGGAGCTGGAACCAGCAATCTGTTTTATACAGACCTTTTTGAACACTTCTGCATCTCCAGAGGTTCACAGGAGCCAGGAAATAATTGCTTTAATGTAATCAAAAGCCATATAACCCACAGATAATGTTTTCCATTCTAAAACTGCTTGAAAGAATGTAACTGAAGTCTGATTACAGCCATTCATCAGCCAGTCCCAGA